AAAAAAAAAAGAATCAAGCAAACAGTAAATGTAAAACGTCGTAACTACAATGTTCTTCAAGGTTTCTAAGCTCTAATAGAATAGAAAATTATCTGAAACACTTGAATTTGGAAAAGGAATGTGTTAAATTCAAGAAACTTGAATAAATAGACCAAAAGCATCACATGCACACTAGAATGGGGGGTAATTAAGGGCTCTTCAATCTTCATGGCGGTCACCAAGAACCAAAAGCATGGATAAGTTGCAAGAACAACTGAATCACAAATTACAAAAAGATATTCCCTCTTTTCATATTATAATAGTTTCCTTTCACATTTTCACACAAGAAATGAGCATCGTAAAATTAAAATACTCAATGTTCCCAACACTAATTGCAATGTTGACTTACCTTGGACATTGTCATATTGACTTACAAAATAGGATTATAATATGGAAAATAAATTAAACGCACCTTGAAGGCTTGAACTAGCAAAGGGGACTATAATTTTGACACAAGTATAAGAATGTTATCAGACAAAAAAATGGGTTGCAGGGACTAATAAAGTTAGTCGGCAAAACCTTCTCCAGGGCAAGCAACTGCAGTGAGTTCTTTAACAGCGATATCAACAGCGCTTGTTGCAAAATCAGAACCCTGTATATATGGATTTGGTTTCAACATAAAATAATTTACAAAGTAAGCAAGTCAAAGTGAATCTAACATTAATAAAATTTCCAAATAAGATTACTGTATATTAAGGTTAGATCCTCAACTAATGAACTAAGCCAAAATTTCTATGTGCCCATATCAAGAAATATGACAATACAACATAAACAACAAATTCACACTCATGTATTTGACTGGATACAAATGGATAAATACTTAATATACTTTGTATATTGTGCAGCAATCATGTATATTTTGCAACAACTTTGTTTTCAAGGTACATCGATGCCATACATATTTGTATATATCAAATAATCAATCATCTGATGATGAATATGTCATCAGATTTTCTTGTAACATTTAAAAAATGATTAAGCTACAAAATTGTTCCGTATCAAGTATCATTCTAGAGTTTTTGTTAGGGACTAAGGAGAACAAAAGTTTGAGTACTGCAAACCTAATTAACTAATAACATTCTTCATTCCTATTTCTTTTTCTCTTTTCATAAATATCTTAATACAAAAATTTTGCTTTGACTCCTAAAATAAGTAGGGACAAAGTTAGACACTGCGTTAAAAAATTCTACCACAATTAATTTAAAACAGAATTGAATAGAATTAAAGTCTCTAAAACTACACTAAATATGATATGGAGGGTGTAATAAATATATTCAAATCTCAATCATACAAACAGCAAACAAGGTAGGTATCCCTGAAAATATTGAGCTATCAGCTACCGAAAACAATTCGAGATACTAAAGTAATTCAAAAAAGCTTCAGCATAGTAGCAAACAGAAGACTTCCTTACAGTTGTAAATTGAACTCCAAACATTCCAGTACGATTGAAAATGCTGGTGAAAGCAGAAAAGGATTGTATCTGAGGATACTCGTTCAGGACACGACGATCTACATAGCAATTACAAAAATGCTTTAGAGATCCAACATTACAATTTTTGTAAGCTTAATAAAACACAAAACATGATATGAGATTTGAACTTGTGACAAACGAAGACGCAGCAAACAGATTGGAAGTTCACATGAAAAGTTACACCATCTTGGTGGGTGGCCATCTCTTTTAAACATTAATGCAAACCAAAAAGCACATGCATTGATAACACTGAGGTCAAGATGAATGCCAAGTCAAAGTTGAACAATAATTTCATTTAACATGCCATTAATACAACTTACATAATCTTGAGTGCATCCCTTTTCCAGGACCACCAGTTGAAAAAGATCCACCTCCACCCATGAGCAGCTATAAGATGGAAATATTTAACTTCCTCTTACAAGATATCCGAATGTTATTTATTAAGATAGTAAAAGCCGAAAAAGAAAAGAAAAATAAAAAAAGGACATAAAGAAACGTATAGAAGTACTAATTGGAAGTAAAGGGTCAGACTGAAGAAATAAACAAACTGACAGAAAACAAATTTATGAAGAATGAGGGAACCTGAAGTATAGTCAGTGTCATAGCATCTTTTTCCCTCATCCAGCCACCAGGAAGTTCAAATGCAAGAGCAACATGAGTAACCTGATAGACACAGAAAAAACTGTAATATTTTCAGAATTCCAGAACAGTAATCACAGTAGGCATGAAACAGGATGAAAAGTAACTTCTGATACCCACCCCTGAACCGTCTTGGTGGCGGAAATCCCCTCCTCTATAACTTATCCCTGGCTCCGAAGGTAGAGGAACGCAAGGCAGATCAGATAGAAGAGGTTCCGCATATTTTAACAGTTCATCATGGTCTACACCATATGCTGCAAGAACCATCCTCGGAGCAGTGTAGTTTTTCTACATCATATCATAATCAATTAGGAGTTGACCTACCCAGAAATTAAAGCTTCAAAAAGAAACTGCTGAAACAGAAACAAAAAATATCTGTAGACAAATGATACTCACAGCAACAAACTCCTCCAACACCTTGCTATTCAAATCACTAAGTGCAGATTCAGAAGTCACAAGAGGATTGCTATAGGGACCAGTGTAACCAGTTGTATGCACAGCCTCCATAAGTAGGCTCTGAGGGTTTTTGGAGAAATCACTTATCTCATCCTTTAACTTATGGATCTGCAAGTGTGCAACAAAATAGTAAATGCAATCCAAAAGGCAAAGTCTGAATGCATAATCCTAAGATGACAAAAGACAATAAATACCTGCTCACTAACTTCCCAATCCAAAAATGCTGGGTTTCTAACGCAGTCAACAAGCAGCTCTACCATTTGAGGAACATATGTCTTTAGTGCATCATAGGTGTAACACGTATGCTCCCGGGAGGCTGATGAAGCTACGTGGCCACCAATTGCCTCAACTTCTCGCACAACACGCAGGTGGCTCCTATTCGTGGTACTTTTAAAGGCCATACGCTCCAAGAGATGTGTGACACCCAGTGAAGATGGAGTTTCGTAGATTGAGCCAGAATCGATAAATAAGCCAATTGAAGCCGTAGGTATCTGATCAAAAAGCTTAATTAAATCATCATGCTGTCCATAAGAATAGCAGTAATGTTTTCTCTCTAATGCACTCACGCGTACCAACAGAGAAGAAAGAATGAAACATCATCCACTACCTTTGATGTTTCGGATGCAATTCGAACCCCATTGGGAAGAGTGGTTATCTTGGTCTTTCCAAGCTCAACATAGTCAGTCAATGGTTCAGGATGTGGAACATCTTTCAGGGGAAAGTTTAGTGGTGGAAGTGAAGACGTCCTTTCACCCGTCAACCAACTGAAAAAGCCTCCGGATGATTTTGTTCCAACAGCACTTGTACTCACATATCTACCCAACCAACTGCTGTCCGTGCGGCCCTGCAGGGGAGAAAAAGGAAGTTAGTCTATTGTCATGCCTATAGATGAAAACAGAAAGATTGTGATGCATCCAGACAATAAGAAATTAGAAAGAACGCCTACAGAAGGAGCAATAGAAAATAAAAGGCTCCAGGGTCAGCTACGGGATTCAACAAATATCATGAGAATCACTTACTTAACATACTCAATCACACAAAATACAGAAGTTCGCATTAGATATCGATCATATTTTATATTTAACCACTACAAAATAGTTGAAATAATGTATTGTGCCAACAAAAATACAACTTTTATCATAAGCAGCAATTTCATCAGCAAAATAGAGACAGCCAAGAGAAAAAAAAAAAAA